CTCCACATCCTCTCCAACACTTGTTATTTCTTATCTTTTTAATAACCGCCATTCTGACAGGCATGAGGTGATACCTCATTGTAGTGTTGATTACCATTTCCTTATAATTAGTGAAGCTGAACATCTTTTCATGTGCCTGTTGGCCATCTGTACGTCTTCTTCAAAAAAAATGTCAGTTCAGATCCTATGCCCATTTGGCTTGATTGTTTTTTTATTGTTGTTGAGTTGTATGAGTTCTTCATACGTTTTGGATATTGACCCCTTATTGGATACATGATTTGCAAATATCTTCTCCCAACCGGTAGGTTGCTTTTTCGTTTTGTTGATGGTTTCCTTTGCTGTGTAGAAGATTTAAGCTTGATACAGTCCCATTTATTTTTCGTTTCCCTGGCCTGAGGAGACATGATACTCAAAAAGACTCTGCTAAGGCTGATGTTGAAGAGTGTACTGCCTATGTTTCCTTCTAGGAGTTTTATGGTTTCAGGTCTTACATTCAAATCTTTAATCCACCTTGAGTTAATTTTTGTGTATGGTCTAAGGTCATGTTCTACTTTCATTCTTTTGCATGTGGCTGTCCAGTTTTCCCAACACCATTTATTGAAGAGTCTTTCCCTTCTCCATTGTATGTTCTTGTTTCCTCTTTTGAAGATTAGCTGTCCAAAGAAGTGTGGTTTATTTCTAAGATTTCAATTCTTTTTTTTTTTTGTGAGGAAGATTAGCCCTGTGCTAAAATCTGCCAATCCTCCTCTTTTTTTTAATTTTTTTGCTGAGGAAGACTGGCCCTGGGCTAACATCCGTGCCCATCTTCCTCCACTTTATATGGGACGCCACCACAGCATGGCTTGCCAAGCGGTGCACGCCCGGGATCCGAACCGGCGAACCCCAGGTGCCGCAGCAGAGCGCATGCACTTAACCGCTTGCGCCACCGGGCTGGCCCCCAGGATTTCAATTCTGTTCCATTGACCTGTATGTCTGTTTTTGTGCCAGTACCACACTGTTTTGAGTACTACAGCTTTGTGGTGTATTTTGAAGTCAGAGATTGTGATGCTTCCAGCTTTGCTCTTTTTTCTCAGGAATGCTTTGGCTATTTAATGTTGATCCACATAAATTTTAGGATTCTGTGTTCAATTTCCATGAAAAATGTCACTGGGACTTGGACAGAGATTGCACTGAATCTGTAGACTGCTTTAGGAAATACGGACATTTTAGCTATGTTAATTCTTCCAATCCATGAGCACGGAATATCTTTGCATTTCTGTCATCTTCGATTTCTTTCAATAATGTTCAGTGTACAGATCTTTTACCTCTTTGCTTAAATTTATTCTTAGGTATTTTATTATTTTTGTTGCGACTGTAAATGGGACTGTATTCTTGACTTCCTTTTCTGCTATTTTGTTGTTAGTGTACGGAAATGTGACTGATTTTTGTATGTTGATTTTGTACCCTGCAACTTTACTGTACTGTATTTGTCTATTATTTCTAACAGTTTTTTGTGGATTCTTCAGGGTTTTCTATATATAAAATCATGTTATTTGCAAATAGTGAGAGTTTTACTTCCTCATTTCCATTCTGGATCCCTTTTATTTCTGTTTCTTGCTTAGTTGCTCTGGCTAAAATTTCCAGTACTATCTTACATAAGAGGGGTCAGAGTGGGCATCCTTGTCTTGTTCCTGTTCTTAAAGGGATAGCTCCCAGTTTTTCACCTGAGTGAAATGACATTCACTGACTATGATGTTAGCTGTGCGTTTCTCATATACGGGCTCTATTATGGTGAGGTACTTTCCTTTCATAATTTTATGGATGCTGTATCTTGTTGAATGCTTTCTCTGCATCTATGTTGATCATGTGATTTTTATTCTTCACTTTGTTAATGCGATGTATCATGTTGACTGATTTGTGGACGTTGAACCATCCTTCTATCCCTAGACTAAATCCCACTTGATCATAGTGTATGATCCTTTTAATGTATTGTTGTATTCGATTTGCTAATATTTTGTTGCGGAGTTTTGCATCTCTTTTCATCAGGAATATTCATTTTTCTTTTTTTGTAATAGTAAAAGTAATAATTTTTTTTGTGTTGTGGTTGTCTTGTTTTGCTATCAGGGTAATGTTGGTCTTAAGAGAATGAGTTAGGAAGCCTCCCCTGCTCTTCAACTTGTTGGAAGAGTTTGAGAAGCATAGGTATTAAATTTTCTTTGAATATTTGGTAGAATTCATTGGGTAAACCATCTGGTCCTGGACTTTTGTTTTTTGGGAGGTTTTTGATTACTGTTTCAATGTCTTTACTAGTGATTGGTCTTATATTAAGATTCTCTATTTCTTCTTGATTCAGTTTTGGAAGGTTGTATAATTCTAGGAAGTTATCCCTTTCTTCTAGATTATCCAATTTGTTAGCATATACCTTTTCATAGTATTCTCTTATAATCTTTTGTATTTCTGTGGTATCTCTTGTATGTAATTTCTCCTTTTCATTTCTGATTTTATTTGAACAGTCTCTCTTTTCTTCTTGGTGAGTCTAGTTAAACATTTGTCAATTTTATCTTTTCAAAGAACAAGCTCTTAGTTTCATTTATCTTTTCTATTATCTTTTTAGTCTCTATTTCATTATTTCTGCTCTGATTTTTACTATTTCCTTTTTTTCTACTGATTTTGGGCTGCGTATGTTCTTCTTTTTCCAGTTCCTTTAGGTGTATTGTTCGATTGTTGATTTGAGATTTGTTTCTTGAGGTAGGCCTATATTACTATAAAATTCTCTCTTAGTGCCGCTTTAGCTGTATCCTATAGATTTTGGTATGCTGTATTTTCATTTTCATTTGTCTCTAGGTATTTTCTGGTGTCTCCTTTGATTTCTTCATTGATCCAATACTTGTTTATTTAGTAGCATTCTGTTTAATCTCCACATATCTGTGGCTCTTCTAGTTTTCTTCTTGTAGCTGATTTCTATTTTCATACTGTTGTGGTGAGAAAAGATGCTTCATATTATTTCAGTCTTCTTATACTAAGACTTGTTTTGTGGCCTAATATGTGACCTATCATGGAGAATGTTGCATGTGCATTTGAAAAGAACGTGTATTCTATAGTGTTTGGATGTAATATTATATATATCTATTAAGTCCATCTGGTCTAATGTGTTGTTTAAGGCCAATTCCTTATTGATCTTCTGTCTGGATGATATACCCATTGACGTAAGTGGAGTGTTAAAGTCCTTTACTATTATTGTGTTACCATCAATTTCTTCTTTTATGTTTGTTAATATTTGCTTTATGTATTTAGGTGTTCATATGTTGGGTGCGTAGATATTTACAAGTCTTACATCCTCTTGTTGGATTGTTCCCTTTCTCATTATGTAATGCCCTTCTTTGTCTCTTGTTACAGCTTTTGTTTTAACGTCTATTTTGTCTGATGTAAGTATTGCTACTCCAGCTTTCTTTTCATTTCCATTTGCATGGAGTATCTTTTTCCATACCTTCACTTTCAGTTTGTGAGTGTCTTTAGGTCTGAAGCATGTCTTGTATACACAGCATATAACGGGTCTTGTTTTTATGCATTCAGCCACCCTATGTCTTTTAATTGGAGCATTTAGTCCATTTACATTTCCAGTAACTATTGATAAGTATGTACTTACTGCCATTTTGTTCCTTTTTTTCTGGATGTTTTTGTAGTTCTTCTCTTCCTTTCTTCTTTTCCTGCCTTCCCTTGTAGTTTGATGACATTCTTTAGTGTCATGATTGGGTTCCTTTCTCTTTATTTTTTGTGTATTTATCCTAGGTTTTTGGTTTGTGGTTACCATGAGGTTCATATATAATAACCTATGTAAATAGTAATTTATATCAAGTTGATGATCTCTTAAGTTTGACCTCTTACTAAAAGCCCCACACTTTTACCCTGACGTTTTATGTCAGACAGCAAGTCAGAGAGAGTGAAAGCATGAGAAGGGTTTCATGTGAGTTGCTGGCTTGAAGATAGAGAGAGCCACATGGAAAGCAAGAGAAGGAATAAATTCTGGCAATAATGAGTTATCTTTGCTGAGGACCTGGAGTCCCAGTTAAGAACCACAGCCCCAGCCAATACTTTGATTTTGGCCTACTGAGACACGGAGCTGAGGCTCTGCTGTGCTTCTGGCCACACAGCTGAGAAGAAATCAGACAGCGGCTCTCTCTAAAAGTAGGGAGACCCTGCTCTCAAGTGGAGTAGAACAGAAATGCCCCTTTCACCTGTGGTAAGTGAAAGCCTTCCTTCCTTCCCTCCTTTCTTTCTTTCTTAATTTGTTGAAGGAACTTTCTGAAACAGTTTTCAGGATTGTGTGTCCCCTTTCCTCTGTCCTTTCCCTTTGAACGGACAGAGTTTTGACTATTTTTTCAAAATTCAATGGTATTTAGTTCACCTATGTTCATAACAGCATTATTCACAGTAGCCAAAGGTGGAAGCAACTGAAGTGTCCATTGACAGATGAATGGATAAACAAAATGTGGTATATATGTACAATGGAGGATTACTCAGCCTTAAAAAGGAAGGAAATTCTGATACATGCTACAAGATGGATGAACCTTGAGGACATTATGCTAAATGCAGTAAGCCAAAACAAATACTGTACGATTCCACTTAAATGAAGTACCTAAAGTAGTCAAATTCATAAAGCTAGAAAGTAGAATGGTGGCTGCCAGCAGCTGAAGGAAGGAGAAAATGGGGAGTTGCTATTTAACGAGTACAGTTTCAGTCTTTCAAGATGAAGGAAATCTGGAGACTGGTTGCAAAACAATGTAAATATATTTAATATTACTGAATTGTACACTTAAAAAATGGTCCAGATGGTCAGTTTTATGTTATGTGTATTTTACCAAAATTAAAATACAAAATCAAAAATAAAACCGAAAATAACCATGAGGTTTCAGAGAACACTAGATTATACTGCACAAATGTATAAAGTTTCCTCTGAAACTAGGAATAAAAAGCATACCTCCAGTGTATTAAGAGATAGCTCTCCATTCGGTAGTACCTACCTGTACATTTATACAACATGCCCGTCATAGTTCCAGCTGCTACTGTGTTGAGGTCATCTTCTGCACCTCGTGTTTTCTCAATGATGACACCAAATGCACTATAGAGCAAAGCTACAGGAGAAATGGAACTGATCAGTAATAAATAAGTGATTAAAGGTCAGTATGGCAACTATGTTTAGATAAATGTATCCTACAGACATCACTCTATAAGTATTCAAAGATACATCAAGAATGATCACTGGAACACTGATTGTAACAGCAAAAGCCTGCAACAAATGAAATGCCCACCAAGAGGGGACTGATCCAGAAAGGGACTTTCCATATAACGAAATACTATATACTCAAAACAAAAAGCAGGAAGAGTTATATTCACTTCTAAGTAAAGCAGGCACATGTGTGTATGACTCTGGATATGCAAAGAAAATGTTGGGAAAGATTTGGAAGAAACATTAACAGTAGCCACTTATGAAAAGTACCACTGGGGAGTCCCAGGAAGAATATCTTTAATTTCCACTTATATTTATAATAGCTGTATTTTGGATTTAGAAACAAAAACAAAAACACATGTGTTTCTACTGTAAGAAAAATATAACTTAAAAAAAAAGTGTGGTTTGCTTCCTCACATTTAATACTTCCTCACATGTAAATACTGTAACTCTAGCACTATTTAGTTTTGACATCTTCCCCCTAAACCACCCTTCTTCTATGCCTAATGAGTCCTATTAGCCATGAATGCATTAATCCTTTTCCCTACCCTTTCTCAAAATTATAGCCACTTTTGACCCTGTCAACATTACACCAAGCTCAGCCTTATAACTCCTCTATTGTAACGTTTTTATACTTCTATAAAGGCTCTTCTTCCCATTTCAACCTACTTAACTGAAGCTGAATTTGAGCAGACTATTGTGATTGATCATATTTACAATGGGAACACACAGCGTGACTGGCCATCCCAGTTTGCCCAGGAGTTAGGGTTTCCTGGAACATGCAACTTGCAGTGCTAAAACTAAGAAAGACCCAGGCAGACAAGGATGGCTGGTCACTCTAGGTATATAAACCATCAAATAGGAACAAAGAAGGGTGATGTGTGTGGGGGTGGGGGCAATGGAGGCATGAGCAGCATACTGAAGCAGCCATTTACGAGGATCCCAAATGTGAATCTGACTTTTACAGTGTGAAAATGTACTGCTTCCAAATCCCATGACAAGGCTAGGATCTTACTCTGTCACAACAGAGGCTTTCCTATCTTTTCAATGAGATACCTACATTTTCCCTTACTTAATCTGCCACAATTAAAAAGATTTTCAGACTTGCAACTAAGTTACCAAGAAAACCGTAGATGTTAGGGCATAAGCGCCACAAGCAGGTTTATTATAAGTCGTGAGTAATCAAGAGTCAATCATTCATGAATAATACAATATGAAATCATCTGCTCCTGACTAAGTACTATTAAATTACTTCTTGCTTAGAAATGAAAATGTTTTCATTATCTACAAAGGCCCTACTGCAACTCTGGCAATTAAGTCTGGAAAATCTACTCAGGTAAACAGAACGCTGAACGGGCTATTAGGAAAACACAGCAAGATGGTTGGATTAATCTGTCACGTCTAACTACAGGACCTTGAACCTTTCCTAATATACAAAGCCATTTGCCTTGGACCTAAATTACCTGGATTTCATTTAGTTACAACATGATTTTTATTTGCGGTACTGCTTGGACAGTAGGGTATGGAGTGTTTAAAAAGATTTAAAACATTCAGAAATGATATTCACAATCGTATTAGCACCTGGAATTATTCTGTTATGTAGTTCATGGTCTTTTCCTAAGTAGTATCTAGACTGCTCACTAGGATGGATTTAAACATAATTTTTAATATCCTAGGACCAGAATTTTGGTTGATCAAATTGTTCAATGATATGTGTACATTCTTTCTTTGCATTAATGATTTATTATCAGATGAGATTTCTACTTACCCAGAGAACCTAGAGTATTAGCCCAAAGCGCCCCTTGCCTAGTTACCATATTCAAAATCCTAGCAGGGCAGAAAGAGAAAGAATCTGTATTTAGAATCATTATTTCTCTAGTAATTTGAAAAACCCTAATTTTAGCTATTTAAAACATATAAACACAATACTCGAAGTTTTCTTAATTTTACAACTTATCTTACTAGCTCAGAATTCAATAAGGATGGCCTTTACTTTATATAACTATAAACGAATGTTAGGTTAAACCTCCAACATTTTCAGGCAAATGAGTAAGGAAAATTCTTATTATTGAATGTATATCAAACATATAAAGGCTTTGAATGACAGGCTGGAATGTGTTTTATACAGAAGTTTAAAGAAACTGACTTATGGAAAAAAACCATTATAATGAACAAACTAGCTTACAATTATGTTTTTTTGAGGGGAGTATACTTCAGATATTAAGTAGAATCAAAGCATGGAGTATTATAAAATATAAAGCAGAATTAAAGATAAATACTCAATGAGAAGAAAAAATCCATCTAACTAGACCACACAAAGAAAGCACACTCTGTGTCTGCTTCCAGACTAGAACCAAGCAGCGGAAGTGAATGCTTAGCACACTCTCAAGGAAGCAGAGTTCCGTCTTGAACCAGTGCCAGACACCACCAGAACAGCGACGGAGGCAACAGGAGGAAGAAGACAGGACATTCCTCTCCCAGCAGTGTAACACCATCACAGGAATGATTCTGTCCGGATAGCTGACTACTGCTGGAAATTATGAAATTACAATGGCAAACAGTAAAAGAACTCATTTAATTTAATTAAAGAACTCATTTAAATTAATGCTCAACAATAACAAAAATCTCTATTACTTCTAAAAAGATTATTTTAAAAAATTAGCAACGATTATGGAGAAGTATATTGTTTCTAATTAATTATGTTACATATTTACCAATATATTTTATAAGTTCAGCACACTGTTTTTTCATTTATAACAAGCTTTTAAAACTGTTAATTTTCATGATTGTACTGCTGGTGGCACTGCAAACTGGTAAAATTCTTTGGCTTGCAATTTGGCAATATACCTCCATTTATTCGGCCCTTACCTACTTCTTACTTTAATCATCTCTCAACAGTCCTTAGAGGCAAAAAGTATAGAAAGCTTACCTAAGATCACAAAACAGTAAGCAACGAAGATAGACTTGGAAACTACATAGATCTGTCTGTCCCCAAACCCTATCTTCTTTCCATTTTTAAATGCTGTCTCCCTATCTAGAAAGATCAGAATAATTATTTTAAAAAAATGGTATAAAAGATTTTAAAAATATGACTTACAAAAAGCAAAACAATTCACCTCTGTCCAAAAAATTAATAATTATCACTGTTTTAAGGAACAAAGGTTTATGTTTTCTAGGAGACCTTCCACTTTCAAATTGGTATTTAATGTTATGACGTTGGGGATTTGTTTCAAAATAATATGGGAGCAGAGAGGAGATAGGAGGCAACTGATCTTGGTCCTGGTTGATGGTTGTTGAGGATGGGTGTTCACTGTACTTTGTCTACTTTTGTATATATTCAAAACTCTCCATAAAACAAAAAGTAAAAAAAAAATTTACTGGTGTAAGGAACAAATATTAACAATATAGACATAAAAATATTCAAGGATCTAGGCTAGTAAAGCAAGGGCAGGAATCCATACAGTAACAGGAATATGAAAAACTTGACAGGCCTTCAGGTTTTTCAAGGTCTAATTCTAGCACACCTGCTGCCATCTGCTGGCTAAGGAAGATGGAGTTTAAAGTGTCCAAAACAGGGGCCGGCCCGGTGGCACAAGCAGTTAAGTGTGCGCACTCCACTGCGGCGGCCCGGGGTTCGCCGGTTGGGATCCTGGGCGCTCACCAACGCACTGCTTGGCAAGCCATGCTGTGGTGGCGTCCCATATAAAGTGGAGGAAGATAGACACGGATGTTAGCCCAGGGCCAGTCTTCCTCAGCAAAAAAAAAGAGGAGGATTGGCAGATGTTAGCACAGGGCTGATCTCCTCACAAAAAAAATAAAATAAAAATAAATTAAAAAAAAAAAAAGTGTCCAAAACAAAACCATGAGCCACTGAAGAATACATACTCTGTGATTCCACTCACATAAAATATAAAAACATGCAAAACTAAATAATACATTATTGGTGCCGGCCCCGTGGCTTAGTGGTTAAGTGCGCACGCACGGATACTGGTGGCCCGGTTCGGATCCCAGGCGTGCACTGACACACCACCTGTCGGGCCATGCTGAGGCGGCGTCCCACATACAGCAACTAGAGGGACATGCAACTATGACATACAACTATCTACTGGGGCGTCAGGGAGAAAAGGGGGAAAAAAAAGAGGAGGATTGGCAATAGATGTTAGCTCAGGGCCAGTCTTCCTCAGCAAAAAAAAAAAAAAAAAAGAGGAGGATTGGCATGGATGTTAACTCAGGGTTGATCTTCCTCACAAAAAAAAAAACAAAACATTATTTAGGGAATATCAACAGGGACTGGTCATGTTTATTTCTCAAGCAGGGTGAAGCTATACATTACATACTTTCTGACCTTTTAAATTTTACTTTCCCTTCTCTGCCAACTTCAATTTCCTAACAGAAGACTGTCTTATTCCTTCTGGAACTGCCTCTAAGTTCTAAGATTTATTTAAATTTTCTGCAGCTTTCCATTTCAGAAATGGAAAGTGAAGTCAATAAGTTCAAGTCAAATGACATCAGTTCTAGTAATCACTCTTACATGCTTCTTATTTCTTCACTTACTACGCACATACTATGGTTTTGCACGCCCCTGGAACAATCCAAATAAGGTACTAGTAATATTTGAAAAGCATGTTATGTAGGCCTGCAGAATGGAACAGGTGTAGCTGAGAAGTTAGGCTGGGGTAGCACAAGCTGACTGAGAGACGCTGACTGAGAGACACTGACTCAAAATCACTCCTTTTAAAAACTTAGACTCAGTAACCTGATTCTTTAATTCCTTTTATTTTGAATAAGGAAAAAAAAAAAAAAAAAAAAAGCAACCAGAGTCAGCCCTGATGGTCTAGGGGTTAAAGTTTGGTACGCTCCTCTTCAGTGGCCCAAGTTCAGTTCCCGGGCGTGGAACTATACCACTTGCCTGTCAGTAGCCATGCTGTGGTGGTGGCTCACCTAGAAGAACCAGAAGAACTTACAACTATACACAACTATGTACCGGGGCTTTGAGGGGGGAAAAAGAAGAAAAAAGGAGGAAGATTGGCAACAGATATTAGCTTAGGGTGAATCTTCCCCTGCAAAAAAAAAAAAATCCCAAAACTATTACCAATACTCAAAACATTTGTAATCTCAAGGTTGTGCTCATCAAGCCCACAGAGTAGAGATTAATATTCAAACATCACTATACTGGATAATTACATGAGACTTACTGTACGTTTCTTGGCTTGGACCAGGCCATGTTCTGGGTTTCCCTCAATCCTAGCCGTAGACCATTCACTGCTCCAAATGCAGCCCCTAGTAATTCACAATAACAATTCATCCAAATAATATAGCTTTATTTTAAAAAATAACTGCACTTCTCATTCTTTTTCATTTTTATTTAATAGGAAAAGACAAAAAAATGTAAATAATTTTTTTAAAACAAGCCCAAAAACCAATATTCTAATTGCTTTTGATTTTAAAGCACCTTTGACTACTTAGATTGAAGACACTTAAAAAAAACTATTATACCCACCTGTCATACAACATCCTCCAATGGTAAAGAAGGCCAGTTCAAATCTGCCCCGGGTTTTATTAGCTCCAGTCGGTAAAATAAACTCATCTGTATCCTAAAGGGATAATAACAAAAACCAAGCTGAGCTTCCTTCAAGAAACAGTACTTGCAAAGTACTGTTTAATTTTTCGAAGTAGTATTTCACAGAACATAAAACCTAAATTAATTAAAACTCAACTATACTTGGTCAAACAAAAATAAAATTTTCTGCAACAAAAGCAAACCCTAAATCAGAGTGAAATGAAATATACAACATATATAGTTATGCTCATTAGTTCTTAGGAGGGATTCTCCTTCAGAACTTTGCTTCTCAATATAAGTTTGATAGTTTGTATGTAATTTGTCTTACTTAATGATAAATTTAAAGCAACAGTGCAAAAGAATTTAGGAAGGACATCTCTAGATAAAGGTAAACTGAGAGCTATGAGAAGTAACATATGATAGAATACTAGCCTGGAAGGGGAAAATAACTTTCATTCTCTAGCTACTATTCATCAAGCACTATTTTACTATGTGTAAGACCAAACAATCATTAAAAAAATAAGCAGAAACTATAAAAGCACAACTGTTTGAATCAGTTACACAGAGCACGATTACCTTCTTAATAATTCTTAACTGTTTGGGGGCATATATTTTTTTGATAATCTTAGAAAGCTACAGACCCTCTTTCCAGTAAATACATACAGAAAATTTGGTATGAACCCCTTGAAGGTCATCCAAGAATCCTAGGTTGAGAAATACTACTGTAAGAGCTCAATATGATTGATTTTGCTATACAATACACTTCTAAGAACACATTCAATACATTTTTGCAGAGCTTTCCTTACAGAAACGGTTAAAATAAATCCCCAAAGGACAGCACACACCCTTGGCAAAAAAGACTCACTAATAAGTGAACATGGCTTTAGTAAATATCGACCTTTGGTAAATGCATTCCTGATTAGGAAAACTATAGCTCTGCACTGGTTTTTGGTTTCCAGCTTGTGCCTACATTCTCACCAAAAATTGCACAAATAAATAAGCACATCTATTCTCATCACACAGAAATGGTCTGTTGGGCAATAATAAGCAAACTCTGAATAGATCCCATGTCATGATGTATTTATTATACACAGTTTTGTAAATTTTGGATGCTTCCTGACTTTTAAATTAATGACTTAGTTTTAAACTGTGCTTCCTATTTGAGGTTTTTAGAAATGCTACATGTGATTTGGTGAGGTAAATAATTATCCTTCAACCCAGAAATGGATCACTAATTACAAAGGGTGGGGGGGAAGATGGTAGTGATGAACACTAGTAAGCACAAGTGTATGTCATCACCAATTCACTCTTCAGGCAGGGTCAACCATAATAAAAACACTATAGGGTTTCAGCAAATGTATATCAATTCACACAGAGCCACTTGAAAACAATGTAATTGGTTACTTGTCATTGGGGAGTAATCTTTTTCAAGGCAATAAAAATGTACTGTTTAATATAACAAAAATTTGCAAAGATTTTTGAGGGAGGGGAACCTGACCAAATTACATTAATTCTTTTGGGGGAAAAACCCCCCACAAAATTAAGGCTCTTAGTTTCTTTAAAAATATGATTAACAGTTTATGGTGTTATAAAAGAAACTTCTGCAAGCCAAATTAACGCTGCCAGAAATAAGCACCTAACAAGGTCGATATCCAAGTATCTTAATACAATGCATGTAGGGAAGATATATTGAAAAGATCCTCTTAAACTTGTGCTGCTGACACTGTAGGACACTAGTGTCACTAAAATAGTATCTGTACCACTGTTTGCTAATATAGAAGAGAAAGGAATCCAAGAATGGGCATCATTGTACCTGATGAAACAGAAGGCTGAGATTATGCGAAATCTTTATATTTCAACTAGATGACATTATGGATACTGGAAATATTTAAATTCTTTTTTCTATACTGGATGTCCTTCTGGTCTAACAAGAGGAAGACTACTCAATATAATTTTTACTATTTCAGTCCGTATGCAAAAGTAGTGATAATACAAAAGCAATAGCAAGAGAAACCACAAATAATGCCTCAGATAAAAGTTGTTGCCAAAAATCACTATATGGTGAGTTGACAGGTACCATGTAAGATGTCTCTATCCTCCAAAAGTATGGACAAAAATGTTTCACAAAATGCAATTTTTATTAAGATGTAGTTTAATTTAGGCTTTCCATGGTTATTTATAACAAGATTGAGAAAATTTTTTCAATTCTGAAGTCCCTCTAGCATTCCAACGGAAGGTGCCACTATAAGTGTTTGTGATTAAGCAAGAAATGACAATTTTTAAAAATATTTTATGTCTAACCTTAATAAGCAGCATTACAATGTTACTGTATTTTAAAACGGAACTAGAGGACAACCTTTAAGCTTGGGTTCAACATTTAAGCAAAATACATGTGATTAGTTTTGACATTTTGATTAAACAACTGACAAGAGGACTACTTTTAAAACAAAACCAACGAACACAAAGTGTTAGATAATATTTGACAAACATTTCCTACAAAAACAACTAAGTTTTAAACTGGCAAGGTCCTAACCATCAACTTGCTTCTACTTAAACACTTCAACAAGAAATGCAGCAGTTGTCAGATATTGTTAGTGATTAAACTTTGAAACAAAACGTTTCAACCATTACTTTAAAAAAAAAAAAACCAAAACCAATTTACTGATATATAATTCATGTACCATATAATTTACCTATTTAAAGTGTAAAATTCAATGGTTTTTAGTATATGCAGATTGTACAACAAAGGTCACAATCAATTCTAGAGCATTTTCATCACCCCTAAAAGAACCCCATACCCATTAGCAGTCATTCCCCATTTACCCCCAACCTTGGACAGCTACTAATTCATCTTCTGTTTCTTCATATTTGCCAATTCTGGACATTCCATGTAAATGGAATAATACAATATGTGGTCTTTTATGACTAGCTTCTTTAATGTAGCAAAGTTTTCAAAGTTCACCTATGTTGTAGCATGTATCATTATTTCATTCCTTTTTACTGCTAAATATCTCATTGTATGGATATGCCATATTTTGTTTACCCATTTATCAGTTGATAAAGACATTTGGATCGTGTTCACTTTTTTTTTTGGCTATTGTGAACAATGCTGATACGAGCATTCATGTACAATTTACTGTATGGACATGTTTTCAATTCTCTTGGGTATATATCTGTGAGCGGAATTACTGGGTCATATGGTAACTCTATTTTTATTATTTTAAGAAACTGCCAGACTATTTCCAAGGCAGCTGTATCATTTTACATTTCCAACAGCAGTGTATGAAGGTCCAATTTCTCCACATCCTCAACATTTGTTATTGTCTGTTTCTGATTACTATCCTAGTGGGTGTAAAGTGGTATCTCATGGTTTCATGATTTGCATTTCTCTAATTAGATATCGAACATCTTTCATGTGATTATTGGACATCTGTAAACTTCTTGGAGAAACGTCTATTCAGATCCTTTGCCCCCCCCCTTTTTTTTTGGTGAGGAAGATTGGCCCTGGGCTAACATCCGTGCCCATCTTCCTCTACTTGATATGGGACACCGCCACAGCATGGCTTGACAAGCAGTGCCTCTGAACCTGTGAACTCTCGGGCCACCGAAGCAGAGCACGCACACTTAACCACTGCGCCTCCGGGCTGACCCCTCCCTTGCCTATTTTTAAATCGGCTTGTCTTTTGACGGATGAGTTTTAAGAGTTTATTCTAGATTTGTCTTTATTAGATATACAACTTACAAATATTTTCTTCCAGTTTGTGGGCTGTCTTTTCTTTTTCTTGATGGTATAGTCTGACACACAAAAGTTTTAAATTTTGATTAAATCTAATTTAGTTTTATTTTTTTTAACCACTTGAGGTTTTTGTGTCACATCTAAGAAATCAAGGCCTAATTCAAGGTCACAAATATTTATGCCTATATCTGCTTATAAGAGTTTACAGTTTTAGCTCTTATATTTTAAGTCTTTGATAGATTCTGGGTTAATGTTTGTATGTGGTGTGAGGTTTGGGTCTCACTTCATTCTTTTGCATAAGGATTCAGTTGTCCCAATGTCATTTGTCAAAAAGACTATTTTTTTCCCTACTGAATTGTCTTGGCACCTTGCTGAAACCAACTGACTGTAAATGCAAGAGTTTATTTCTGGACTCTCAATTTTATTTTGTTGATATATAGATCTATCCTTACACCAGCACCACAATGTCTTAATTACTGTAGCCTGGTAGTAAGTTTTGAAATCAGCAAGTGTGAGTGCTCCAATTTGTTCTTCTTTTTCAAGATTGTTGGCTGTTCTGCATCTCTTGAATTTCCATAAGAATTTTAGTATCAACTAGTCAATTTCTGCAACAAAGCCAGCTGAGATTTTGATACAGACTACGTCAAATCTGTAGGTCGATTTGGGGATTACTGTTATGTTTACAATATTAAATCTTCCAAGAAAGTGGAATAGCTCCCAATTTACTTAAGTCTTCTTTAAGTTTTTTCAATAACACCTTCTAGTTTTCACAGTATAAGTTTTGTATTTCTGTTGAATTTATTCCTAAATATTTTACTTTTTGATGCTTTTGTTTTTGTACCTTCATTTTTGTAGCATCCATTGCTACTATACAGAAATATAATTGATTATGTACATTGATCTTGTATCCTGCAACTTTGCTGAACTTGTTTATTCTAATAATTTTTTTGTGGTTTCCTTAGGATTTTCTATACACAAGATCACATCATCTGCAAACAGATAGTTTTACTTTTTCTTTTATCTATCTGGATGCTATTTATTCTCTTGCCTAATTGCCCTGGTTAGACAATATTGACTAGAAGTGAAGAGAGTGACATCCTTGTCTTGTTCTTTATTAGGGAGAAAGTATTCAGTCTTTCACCATTAAGTATGATGTTAGCTTTCGATATTTTGTAGATGCCATTTATCAGGTTGAAGAAGTTCCTTTCTATTCCTAGTTAATTATTGAGTGGTTTTTTTTAAACCATGAAGGGATGTTGAAATGTCAAACACTTTTTCTGCATCTATTGAGATAATCA